TTCAATTTTTTTTTAAATTTGGTTGTATTAAAGACTATTTAGTTTGGTATTAAAATCCTTTAAAATAATTAAATTTACTATATCTTATATTCTCTATTCTTATCGGTAGAGTTATATGATTTCAATGACACACATTTATTTTTGTTTTTTTTTTTGTAAATAACAATACTAAATCATATCATTCAAATAAACTATATAGAAATATTTTCAAAATCGTATTTCAACGCTTAAAAATTTCGGAACTTGATTTTCGGTTGTTTGAAGCTATAACTCACAAATAGCTTACTTAAGCCTGAAATCGTTGTTGGCTTAGACACAACTTTGGTTAACCACTGGTTGAAATTTAGTTAAAGCCTACCCCACAGAAAGTGGTTCCTCACACATAGAAAAATAAATCTTTATTTATATTTCTGTAAGTGATAGACAGAAAGCCAATATTCATTTTCTACATTTTGTTAATAATAACGGCCACCAGTCTATAAACAACAGTGATTTTTTATAAACAACAGTGACATCGGTAGCTCACGACTCATCCTTGGGTCTTCTGTATTTTAAATATGACACTTTTTACTTATTAAAAAGTTGTAACAATAGCGAACCTGACATCCTTATGGTGTACCACACTGTGAAGATTTTTGAAAATTTGAAAAAATTGTTTTGAAAAATAATTAATTTATAAATATTACTCAGTAGGAGTAATCAACAGATCAAAGATCAGGTGTTACAGTTCTCTTAAGTTATAAAAAATCCAACTAACGAACGGACACCTAATTTAAAGTGACTCTACAAAAGTTATAAAGATCGTGATAATCTTAATTTTAAATTAATAATCTAAGAAAAACCTTAGGAATAAACTTTATATTGCAAACATCGAAATGCATAAAAATTTATTTTCACAAATAAATTAAATATTAATTACAAATTGTCTCTGTAATGACTATTACATGATTGTAATAAGGAAGTTGTAAATACCTCGTTAGGGTTTATATTTTTTAAATTATTATAATTAGTGTTAGTTTTATAATTAGTCATAAACTGATTGATTTAGAGTTTCTATACATTGACAAAATCTTAAAAAATAAAAAGGGATCTTAATTGATTTATTACACTCAAAACATTTTACTATTTTTATTTTTATTATATGTAATTATTCGGTTGCTTTTATAAGTGTTTATTTTAATACACTTAATTCAGTATTTCACGAATTAAAATACAAGTTTTTACATTTCACGGGGAAGCACCTTTTTAATTAAGAGTTAAATGTTAAGCGTAAATAAGTAACTACGAAATATTTTTTGTATGTGCCACAACCACCAAAGAAATACCCTACATTAACGCTAAAAATATCTTCCTTACAATATTCACGAAAATGTAGCAGACAAAAACAATTGCTAATAAGAGAAAGAGTATATTTATTTCTCTAAAATTCTCATATCTTTGTTACTTGAATTCTTAATTGTGTATATATACTCCAATATATTAGATAAGTATGGGCAAGTATGTGGAAAGCTATAGAACACACTTAAGTTAAATTGGCTCTTTACATATGTCGATATCACATAATTAGGATTTTAAGTATCAAAATTTCATTTCTATCCATTGAAAAAAGTGTCTATTGTTTCTTATATTTCCCATTGACCAAATAAAGTTTTTGTGTGAATTTGTTGTTTCTCGATTCCACCATTCATCTATGTTATTTGGTTTAACACTCTCCTATATAAGACTTATATGACATAAAAGTCTTAACTTATAAGATATGGAAGTCTTGACTTAACGTAAAAGACATATGTCTTATATAAGTCTGCTTTATTGATATCATTATAAAATTTGATTTGATTTGACTAAATTTACTCTTGATCTGCCATATTTTGTTGCCCAATCGAACGTTTTTAGAATAACCTAACACTTTTGTAGTAATATTAGTAGACAATTATATTTTTCATAAGTACATACATTGAATCAAATCGCATTTTTTCTGTCAAATCATATAAACCAGCTGTTAATTCCAGGGTAATTTTGCTACTCTAGAGTGTTATAAATTAATCTCAAGTGTTATACATTTTGCCCCACATTTTGCCCCACATTTATCGATAACTAAAATTACACAAAAAATGCTTTAAAAGAGTATCTCAATAAAAAAAATTACCCCAGATTTACCAATCGAAAACACCATATGTTACTAATGATGAGAACAATAAGCTTATTTGGAAATTCATTTCAGATTATTCTTAAATAATTCTACATTATTCTAAAATTATTTTAAAATTATTTTAGAATTATTCTTAATGTAAAGCTGAATTATTTACAAGATATGTAAAGCATAAATAGTTTTTTAACCTTTCTGTTTGGGAAAACATTAGCTACATTTGTTTACTACTAACTACGTCATTAATTAGATAGTTTATAATTTTTAGAAACTTTTCCATTAATGGAAAATATTTGTGTTGTTCCAGTTGTGATTAACAGATACTTGTTAAA